GCTAAATAAAGTAGTGTTACAGTTAATAGAGCAGCTAACAGTCGTCTAACATTGGTGAGGAGGAGCACTGAGGAGGAGCACTGAGGAGGAGCAGCTGAACAATGGAGACCTCGTTGGAAAACAACCTCGCTCCCAAACTTACCACAACAGCAGTCACCGGCTGTCCTGGCATGGAAGTCATGGTGTCGCTACGATGTTTCGGCTATTACAAAAAAAAAAGAAACTGTTAAAATAAAGTGTTGCTGTAAAAGTCACAGAAAACAGAGGTGTCGTCGGTGGGAGAACTTCCCAGAGCTGTTGAGGAACAGCAGGCTGATCCCTGGATGGAAACCAACGACTTCCAGGTGACGTCACCTCGGCCCCCAGCTTATCGGGTCTGCGGGTTTTGTAGTGCGGGGGCAGCTGGGGAGGGCGGGGTTTAACGATTGGCCGTCGCCCCTGCTGATTCTGCAGAGACATGCGTTACGAATTTAACTCCCCGAGGGTTTTTGTTGGCCATCTCCGTGTGTGCCGGGGCAGGGCTGGGTGTTTCCCGTAAGAGGAAGTAGAAAATAGTGACCTTTGTGCGAACTATAGGTTTATCAGGGCTTTCAGGGCATCACTTTTTTACATTTCCTTTTTTTTTTTTGCACTATTGTTTCAGAGAAAATGTCATAGCTGCAATTATGTAGGTCTACTGGCTTTATGTCAGCACATCTGATATTTTAAAATTATTTAATAACACACATACATCAATAATAGTCAATAATAATAGCCTTTATTTATAGAGTTTGTGCATGATTCATGATGATAAAGATACAGAAAAATAGAAATACCTGCCAGAAATAGCATATTGTCCATATTTTAGAGGACCCCCAAACATTTCACTAATCATGTTTTCAGGGGAGCTCATGTCTTATTCCCCTGGCTCCCCTTAAGTTTGCACCCTGGTGATTCAGCATAGTCCTTCCCATTAACAATATGAGGCAAAAACAGTGGACCACAATATGTGAGCATCAAGAGGATAAGTAACTAATTTAACTACTAACTAGTAGTAATAAATTACAAAACAAACAAAAACAAAACAGCTAGAAGAATTAAAAACATTCAAATTTGCGGCATAGTTATTTAAAAATGTTGAGTTAGTAATTCCTGATTTTGAATTTATTATCTCAATAATAGTGAGACAATAATGGAAAGAGTTATTTTTGTTGTTTCCTGTGAGCTAAGGGACTGACAGGAAATAATATAATTCTATTTAAGTAAAGTGTCAGAGGCACTTCTGCTTGAGTAGTACACCGCAGTGCCTAGTAACTGAGGACATTATTAACTCTATTTAAATTTTGTATCCTACTTCACTTATAATTATATTAATATTATTATTTCTGAGGCAAATGTTGAAGTTTTATCTCCATGTCAATTTTTAGTTATTTTGAATACTACTAATATTTTGAAACATATGATCCAATTACAAAATTTGCTGCATTGGCTTTAGTAATTTGTTTTAAATCAGACTTTCTATAACATACTTTTATATTGTGGTATTACATAAATGATCTGAATACCACCGATACACTCTTTGAGCACCTGATGTGGTTTACTGCCACTAGATGGTAGCCTATAATAAGTGTTTGCTGTTAGTTTGGCATGAAAAGCTCTGAACTGATGTGACTACTATACACCACACAGCGACTGACACAGTCAACAGCTAAACTGTTTGAGATAAATGTTTTTATATGTGGTCAGAAATATAAGAAATAACTTTAATTTACAGTAAAATAAAAGGGAAGAGTCTGGGGGTAGAAAGGGACTGTGATGTCATAGAGGCTCCTGGTTAAATTACACCATCACAGCATGCAGCCCATGACTGAGTGAACAGGAAACTTTAAGTTATAATGTCAGAGATCAGAGGAGAAGAGGAGAGGGGACAGGAGGAGCTGCACTGTAGTAGAGCAGAAACAGAAATGATGTATATTTAAACTGGTGCGTCTCTTGTTTTAAACTGCTGACAGATGGAAGAGTGATATTAATTATGTGTCATAACAGCATTGAAGACCAATACAGACTGATCATTTTCAAAGGGGATTTATTAGACATTAACAAACTTTGATGCTTAGTACAGATATGTTGAAGCTGTATAAATGTGAATTGGACTCACCTGTATGTTTCTACCTGTGAAACAAGTTTGACCAGTATGTGCATTTTCTTCCAGCTTCCCTTGTCATATTGCTGATAACAGGTCTGCATCAGTACAGTATGTCTCCTGTATTCAAAGCAGCTGACATTAACCATGCCTTTTCTGATTTACATACAGTATGCTCCATAAAACTTCTTCCTACTGTCTTTATTATATTACCAAAAAGGCTTATGAAAACATTTAACCATTAAAAATCTGGCCAGGGAGGATGCTGGTTATTAGGGCAGTGCCTATAGATTGCATTTGTTGTATTACTTATTCTTATGTAACAATGTTTATCTGTATCGTCTCTGTTGAATAAACTAGCAAATACATAGAAACGAAAGCATTCACAAGTAACTGAAACTAGTTAGTCGTATGAAGACAGCAGGTTAATGTATTTTATAACTGTTTACTCTTTGCAAAAGAAGAGCAACTGCTTTAATCAAAACCATTCAGGCATCTGCAGGTTTGATTCAGGTGTGTAAAGTAAAAGAAGAGATCATTTGCACATGTTGAAAGTTCCTGCCAGCAGCCTGTTAGCTTAGCTTAGCTTAGCTTAGCTTAGCACAAAGACTGGAAACAGTGTCCATAGATAACAAAATCTTACTAGCACCTCTATAGACTATTTCTTGGCGGGATCATTTCCCCATTTCCAGTTAGTTGTAAACTTATATTTAAGCCTATCAGAAAGAAAGCAAATGAGAGTGTTTTCCAAAATGTCAAATGATTGCATTTATAATGCGACATTAGCATTAAAGGTCTTTGTCAAACAACAAACATCCATGTGAACACACAGATCTCGCAGGTTGAAATGGCACTTTATTAAACTTTTGTAATGTTTCAATCTTCAATGTTTGGACTACCGCTCCTTTTCCTTTGCATGCTGTTTTTGACCTCGGATTGGATTCTATCCACCTTTTTTACCTTGATTCAGTTATATTTCAGTCATGCCACAATGCACTGATCTTCTTCAATCCTCTTCAGTCCACCTGTACAGTATTTTCTAAGGGAACAGGTGTCTGTCAGTAGCCTGGGGCAAAGGGTGGAGGTGGAAGGTACTCCTGTGGTAACCTTCCATCAGACAGTCTCACATCAGTGCAAGTGTAGGAAAATGCTGGATCACTGACGGTCTGCTGCCCTTCTATCTCCTGGTACTCATTCTCAGTGTTTCCAGTTGCCTCCACATTAATCTCCGTGTACATTGACTCCTGCGATGTGCTCCTCTTCTTTTGAAATTTCTTCTTGAGGTTCTTTAGGTTGGTGACGACTGACGGCTTTGCTTCCTGGTTCTTTACAGGCTGGATGTTGGCACTGAACGAGTGTTCAGTGGCTGTCGGTGTGCAGGGACTCTTAGGTGCAGAGACGGTTCTGATACAAGCCTGGTTCAGCTTCAGTGGAGGAACAGAGGTCCGAGCAGGGACTTCAGGAGGGGGGTTGGATGGGGGGTTGTCGGCTGTGTATCTGTTTCTAGTCTTTGGCACAGGCTGGAGATCATAATGTGAAACATGCAACATAGAAATTTATTAGCAAATAAAATGACATTGTAATATTTAAACCGCTAAAAGCTTTAGCTTGAACTATACAAATCTCAGGTATAGCTCTAAAAAGTGAAGTAATCATGACTAAATAAGCAACAGTCGAAGTTAAAGTTTGGGTAAAACATATTTTAGTTATGTTTTAGGAGTTTAACAACAATGACAATGTAAGGAAACGGCCCCCACAAGTGTCATCAGTTCAAATTCATTTGCTAAATTTCGGATTTCCTAGATTTGTGCACAAAAAATATTTTCATTTCCAGATCAAACCAGTGAAAATAGCAAGAATGGAAACACAACATGATGGTTCCCTGTATTGCCTTTGTAATGTCTTGAGAATCCCTTTGCTTTGTGGATATCTTTTATCTTAAGAATTTAAAGGATTAAAACATGACATCAGTTTTAGCACCAGACAATATCTAAAAAAATCCGCTGAGGTCACCATTACCGTGGTTGGAGGAGGTGAGGTGGCATGTGGATATTCATCCTCCAAAGTAGGGTAAAGCTTGTTTGGAGGCAGGACTGCAGCGTTCCTCAGGTTATTTGGACGATAAGGAAGGGCAGGTGGGATATCTTCCGGTGGTACTGGGTGACTTGTGCTGGGAACCATGAGATTGTTTGGTAGCAAACTTGTGTTAGGGTTCGGATTTCTTTGGGGAAAAAGTAGTTCTGCATAGTCAGTGTTGTCACTGGAGGCCTTACATAGGATCAAACAGAGAGAAAGAGAAACAGGACAATTTGTGACTGCTCTCTTTTTGTTTGGTGCACAGGTCACAAGCAAATCATGTGATTTCAGATAGTAGAGCTCATTCAGTTTTAACTAAGAGCATTAAATGTAAACGTCTAAAAGCAAATAAACAGCAGAAAGATAGTGAGAAACAATACATTCAATAACCTAAACTAGAGAAATCAGTAATGTATGGAATGACCGTTCGGTTAAGGCAGTTGTATGCAGGTAGGACAATAAAACATTTCCTCACCTGTCCACAAGCGACAGTCAGCACCTCACTGAAAGGCATAATGGGAGTTCTTCGGTGAAAGTCCACCAGGTCCTGCAGAAACCGGTGACGCCTGTTCTCCCCTACTATGATGTAATGGCCGTCCTCCAATGCATCAATCATGAAATGTCTGCAGCGGTCCTCAGCACTGAGGGCCAGAGATTGAAAAGAAAGGCTTTATCATGAAGAGTGAACTTTTTGGACATTGTGTGAGCGTAAACTGTAAAATAAAGGTCCTTTTAATCCTTCAAACACTCACCGGTATGAGAGAGTGTAGCCAATCCTGCTCTCGCTCACTCTGATGAGGAAGTAGCCAGGAGGCTTGGACATCAGCAGTTCCTCTGCCGTCCTGCAGAAATAATTAACATGCAACTGAATTACCACAGACAAAAAGCCCTTTCATGCTTGCATTTTAATCTGTAAATGATCTGGCAATTTTATAGGATGGCTTTGTATGTGAACTGGAGCTGAAATCAGTTTCCTGTGAAAGTCACTGTGTGGGAATTTGTCATCTTAAGAGCTATAGGAACCAGCTTAGCTTTCAACATTTTCTTACCATGCATGGACATAAATAAACCAATGGAGTACACCCTGCCTTGTAATAATCCACATATATCATCCATTATACAAAGTTGTGAATGTAAAATTCTTTATAAGTAAAAATAATAAATGAAAGATGCAGTGGCCAAGTTTTGTTTGTTTGTCTGTGTTAAGGTAGGATATCTTTCTTAAGGGCGTTTGATGTTTTACTTCACTGAAACCACATGCATTATAAGGGGTGTTGAGAAAGATGTTGAGCCTTGTGGTTCTATGGTTGTCAATGACTTCCTGAAAAGCTTTTATTATTTCCTGAAAATTTGACATTTTGGAGATTCAAGATTTTTCCCTGTTAAGGTTTATGTATTTATACTCATAATTCTTATGTTGTGGCTGTATTTTATGTACCACTTTTGTTATTGTGAAGCACTTTGTAATGTCTGCTCTAGAAAGGAGCTACATAAAGTTTACATTTTACTCGTTTTAATAAAAGAACACAATGGATGCTAAACATAAATGACTAGAGTATGTCTTCACAGCATGTTGGAACACGACCCTGATATCTTTATCGTGTAGGATTTTTAAAACATGACTCTCCACATTCCTCTCTGTCTACTTCCATTTTTACAGATGGCAGATAGTGGTAGACTTTGTGAACTTACTTCCTGGGAATTATCCCATGAAACCATTCTGGGACAATTCCGTTCTTGATCACAGACTGGAGCTGGGACTTTGTGAACCAGGTGAAAGCATCATGCTGTCCTTGAAACGACTGACTCAACTCCATCATCCTGGGAAACAGCTCATTTAATCCTCTGTTGTGTCTTTTGGGAAATTCTCTGAGCACAAAGACCTGCAAATGCACAGTTTACAGGTCATTGAGTCCATACCTGATACACACTGTACATAAATAGTGTACATACAGTACAAGCACGTACAGAAATATGAGCTGTCAGTATAGACAAATCACAGCATTCAGGCTGATAATGATCATATTATACATTCAAATGATTTAACAATTAGTTTCTTTATCCCTTTTCCATTACACATAATGTCACTGAATAACTGCTCCTCAGTTACAGAAGGAGAAACCCTATAATAAATAAAGACCATTTACAATTCTTATTATCAGTTTTACTTATTGTAATACTGTTTAATTATTGAAGAAATTACACCTGCTTTAGTTTGGTTTAAATAAATCTTAAACACGCAAGCAGTTAAAAATTACACTGGTTTTGTAAATAACACTCAATCATATTAGAGGTTTCTATATTGAATCTAGCTCACAGCAAAAGTCTCTCACCTTGTCCGGCAGCTCCGTGATAAAATGACACAGCAGAACTGCCTCACCTGACGACACCTGTGTGGGGGAGGAGACAAAACTTACATCTTTGTAAGTAGCTGTTTCACAGTCACGCACATTCAGAGAGAATACAACCTAATGTAGAAAATAAGAGTTGTAAAGGCTCTACTGCACGTAACAAATTATCCAACGGTCCTTTAAATGGTCAGACAGAAGGTAAATTATTATCTCTCAGTGTGACAGTAGATGTGGGTTCTATAAATGCTGCCTGCATAAATAAGTACATCATAAAGCCACAGGTGTTTGAGTGTTGAATAAAAATGAGGTCAAAGTGACTGATCATAGAGCAGCCAACAGAGATTAAATGAGAGACGTCAGTCCTGCTCTCTTCAGCTGTTGCATAACAGTAGATTTGATCAAGTAGGCTATGAGTGCGTAGTACTGAGGTAAGCCACATAAAAAGTTAGAATTCAATAAGATCAGTTAACTATGATGAATGTTTACCAGCTGTTATCTGTTTTATTACATTTTTTTAATTAGATATTGTATTAATTTCTTAAAACCTTTATTTAATCAGGGGAGTTTCATTGAGGCGCCCCTCCCTTTTTAGTAAGGCCCTGCTAACACTCAGACCTTCACCCCTGAAGGCTGCCCAGTACCATCTCAGGGGCACCCCAGGAGTAAAAATTAGTGAGACATACTTTCTAACCCTCTCTAACCTTTAAGCTTTCACTGCACCCTGATTTCAATATAATGAAATGCAATACAGCAACACCGCACATGATTTAAATGGTAAATGGACAGCTCTTACATTGCACTCTTCTGCCTTAACAGACAACTTGGGGTTCAGTGTTGCTTAAAGACAGGAGGGACCAGGTGTCAAATCACCAACTCTACAATTAATTATCATCCATAAGAAACATTTCTGTTTTCATATATAATGTATGTAGCTACTACATACGTTATTTTTTTAGGTTTTTAAAGAAATTAGGATTTTAATAATATGTAAATGCTGGACAAATGTGCAAGAGTTTGTCTGACTTCCCTCTACTGTGCTATTCAGAGAGGAACCTCTCACAGACAGGAACTATAAAGTTCATGGTCATTGGTGTTATTGTCATCTGTGACAACTATTCACTGCACTGGTTCAATAGAAATGCCTGGTAATGCCGGAGAGCCACTTCAGAGAAAGTAAAGAACCAACCGGGGGAGTTGTCCTCCCACATGATGGTTGTTCAAATGAAAAAATACCTAAATAAAGGTCAAAGTCTTTCTGCTCTTGTGTGCTCAATTTACACACAAACAACCAACTAAACTGTAGGTAGAGTCCTCATACAAAGTCACTGTGAAGATGTAAACATAGTTTCATTAAGACATTTCTAAAGTAGGTGGCCTAAACTTCCTATTCTGATATTTTAAGTATCTTACACAATGATTAATGGTTCACATTCTTCTACATCCCATTTCAGAATAATATATAATATAATAATATATAATATAATATTATTGGATTCTGACAAATTATAATTAATGTTTGCATCATAATAATATTGCAGCTGGTAAATGTTGGGCTAATTTTAATGTATTTACATGTATTTTATACATACATGACATAATATACTGCTGGGTAGTTTGTGAATGTCCATTTGGGGAGCAGTCTATCTAGTCTAGCAAGTCTTATTGATATAATTATATCATAATTTATTTGTCAATTATACTTATTTACTGTTATTATTAATCTGAATCTGGAAAGTTAAGTTAAGTCAAATATACATAGTGGAGTAAAAGTATATTTGCCTCTGAATTGTAGTGAAATAGAAGAATGAAGTAGCAAAAAAATGAAAACACTCCAGTAAAGTACAAATCATTCAACTGTGACTGCAGGAAGTCCTGTGGGTATATATTGACAGTGTGCAGTAGCTGGCTGGTTGGATCAGGTGACTGGAATAGTCAGCAGCTCAGAATGTGAACACACCTTTACTCCAGCTGTAAGGGTGAAGAGGGGGTGTGTGGGAAGAATAGTTAGAGGAAGCATTAGAGAATTTTGCCCCTGTGCAGTCATCATCTCAACATGCCCACTGCACAGAGAATCACTCTCTGAAGTTCGGAGATGTCGCTACCTGTTAGCATACCTGGCAGTGCTCGATCAACTTCGACTGCTATGAAGCCAAATGTGGAACATTTGCATATTACAGAGCAGGAACACAGGTGTACTGTGCAGAGCAGCAGATTTATTTGCGGCACTGACTCCTTAGGTAATGAGATAATCCAATTGTACAAAATGATCATATAAAATTAATTATTAATATAGTAAACAAACAGAAATGTGTACCTTTTAACAAAAAGTTTTTTAATGCATACATTTTAAGAAAGAAATCTCATTTGGACACCCTGTCTGAGGAGACCCTGAAGTGTTCGTATTATCAGACACATTTTTAATGAGTTCTATATTCTATATCATAGTATACAATCATTAAACTAAAGGACTGTGAATGGACAGTTTGACAGTAACAGTGCCAATAACAGCAGGACCCCCCACTACTGTATAAAAGTAAACAGTCCATTGTATTTTAATAAATGGGCACAGCCCTTCACACCAAGGAGAAATAAATTAGGCCATACCCATTTATGATTGTCTGTCCTGCTTTCATGACATAAGGCTTCATGTTGGGAATTATAAAAATTATTAAGAATAATTAAATTTTCTTTTACATTTAATGTACTCAACAGCTTATTTTGTAGAAAGTCAGGTTTGGTCCTCCATATATTACAGCTGGTCAAGAAAATGATATAATCCTTATATATATTATTCTGTCATGTTAATATAAAGGGAGTTTTGGATGAAACGTTTTCAACAGTCTCCAGTTGATAACATCTTCTGATTACAGGTCAAATTCCAATATTAAACAAATAAAACATGTTTAAAGTAACCTTCCTGATATCGTTTAATAAATAGAATTTCTACAAATAAAAAATGCGCGTAAAAAATAAGTTGACTTAACATTTTTTTTAAGAATCTCATTTTTAATAAATCATCAAAAGTACACATATCTACAAAAGGTGTAGATCAATAAGATTTATGAAGTACAATCATTGTAGATCTTATTTACAATTGCTGAATTATTTAATTTATTCCCCACGAAATCTGCGACAAAATCCAAATTTAGTTAGAGAAAGTTGAAGATATGTTAAGCTAAAGCTGGCAAATTTCCAACTGGCGAGAAATACTAATGACTCCAATCAAAAGAAGTGAGTTCATTTTAAAGACCAAATTTAAGAGAAACTCAAGTCTAAAAACGTGGATTTTTATCAAGTCATGAAATAGCTTAATCTGTAAGAGCCAGTTAAGCCGAAATTGTCCAACCACAAACTCCAACCACATTAACAACAATGATTTAATTCCACAGGTTAACATATAGGCAGTCACATATTCAATTCTTTAACTCTTCAGCACCGCTGGAAACTGTGCGTGTGCTCTCACTGTAAAACGTCAGAGGTGATTTTTGTCAGCTTTCAGGTAATTTCCTATTCTTACGTCTGAACGGCTCAATTTAGGAAATACAATTTGGAGTGACAGCAGAAAATAAAACAGCAAGGATCCTTCGCACATTTCTAATCTCAAATAAAGCTCGTCAAGTCAAATGTGCAAAGCTTTTTGAGGTTTTCTACGCACCCAGAATGCATAGTTCAAATGGCCATAATAGTGAGCCAAAACAAGACATGGTGACATCTGAAGAGAGGAGGTAGAGGGGAGGGAATGAAAGAGAGAGGGGTAGGTGCATCTGGGGTTCCCAAAAGCATCAATGGGGTTGGAAATGCATAAAAAGCTTGAAAATGTGAAATATCAATTAATGGGAATTCTGGAATGTTGGGAATAGGAATGAAAAACATCTCTAAATCAAAGGCCTTCAGTATATTTTCATTATAGTGACTAAAGAAAAATGAGGTTTCAGTGCTCAGATGTTTTCAGGAAGCCCAGATAAGGTACATGGAAAACTTGTGCATGAATATCTTTGCTTTCAGTTAAGACTTGCAACAAACACAGTCAACAAATGTTAAGAACTTTTTTTTTAACAGAAAGAACAAAGGAAAAGTGCATTATCAAAAGGAACATTAAAGGGCACTTTGTCATTTTGGTGCTATGTTTTTGTTTCACTCCATAAATACTGCTACAGCACAGCCCCTATTAAAGGCCCAGAAAACGGTCATGTGCATGTTCCCCCGGTGGAACTGACAACTGGAAGAAGTATGAATGCATAAAACAATGATTTCATGATCGCTGTGATTCCTTCGGTGCCACTGCTGTGTAACTGTATCGCCACCAGGTGTTAAGAGTTAGGTATTGCTAGTCCACCAGCTGAAGTGCATTGAATAACCGTCTACACCAATCGCATCTTTCTCATCCAAACAAATTGCAATACCTAAAATGATGAGGTAAGCAACTACAAAAAAGGAATCTGTGTGCCCTTAAAACAAGCATACTTTGTCAAGACCCCAGTCCCAGAACCCTTACCGCAACCATGTGAATACTTAAGATAGACAAAATCTGGGCCCCACATACTCTTTACATTGCACATTAAAGTGTTCACAAGAGGGGTGGAATGTTTCAGCCGAAGAAATCAACAGAAAAAGGTGGACAGACAGAACTGTAAACCCGAATGTTGATATGATCGAGTAAAATGTGCTGGCACTGCTGTCTCATATGATGAATCATAATCAGTGATACATATTTACATGTTGCATTTACCTTGTGTAGATATATATGTATAAAAGTCGAGGCCACTCAGTCAGTATGTAAATGGCGCATAATAGCTTCAAAAAACAGTAATCAACTGAGATTGTACTCTCATTACCTTCAGAGACATAGGTCACATTATTTGATAAGAGTATTTTCAAAATGAGGAAGCCCACTGAACTAGTAAACCTATTCTGGAAGTACAATTTGGGCGGCTTTTTAGTGATAAGGGTCGAATAAATAAGACTTCACCGAGTGACACTGACAACAGGTGGGGGAAAAAACAGCTATCACACATTATTGTGAGCAGTAAAGGCTTGATCGTTTCTAGAGGAAGTCTTTAAAAGTAAATAAAATCTAAGGGATCAAGTTGAAAGTTGAGAGACTGTAAAAAAAAAGAAAAAAAAAAAAAAGAAATCAGATTTAGCATGTAACAGAGGCCACAGTAGTTAGATTCACAGGTGTCAAGGGAAGACTGGTAAACCAAGGGAGCGATAAACTTTTGTTCTTCCAACTAGATAAGCACAGGACAATCAGAAAGAGAAGGAGGCAGATAAGCGAAGAAAGATGAAAGAGAGATCAGAGTGTGCTCTGTCCAGTTCTGTCCAGTGGGGGACACAGTTAAGGCGATGGTGGACGCAGACGCTCCCGTCTCCTCACAGGAGCGTGCAGCGGAAGAAGCTGCTCTTCTTGGGCTGTTCTGTAATCTTTACTCCTGGACTGTTGCTCTGCGGGTTGTTGCCCTCCTAAGATACACACAGATAAGAGAATTAAAATATGGGAACAGCAAAAACACAACACAGACACCAGACAAGTTTCTACTCAAATACGTTCTTACCAGCTTCTTGTCCATTTTTGCTTTGATGTCTCTGGCGAGGGTTAAGAAGGCCTGTACACACAAAAAAAGGTGAACAAATAAAGCAGCACATTAATGGTAGCACTCTGGGTGGGGCCTGTGGTTTTAGACAAGGATGACTGAATGTTCACTTAATATCAGCAACCCCCCCATTGTTGTTTAAGATTATAAAACAAAAGGTGCTATAGTCTCATGTTATACAATATGTATACAAATAGTTCACCTTCATGTTTACAGTGAGTACATTACATCATGTTTAATTGTTGTGTTTTATAAGTAGGATTCCTAAGGACGGTAAGCTGAGGATAATTTTCAGCAATTCAAAACAGTTTGGTTGCCCCCAGCAGAGACTCAAGGACGTTACTGTCAGGGATGTCCTGATCCGATCTTAACGACGCCGATCAAGGGGCCATTTTTTAACTGATCGTATCGGATATGTTGACCTTTATGATCCAATCCCATCTTTTGTTTATATATACATATATACATATATACATATATGTATGTTACTATACTACTATATATGTATATGCTATATAGTATATACTGTACTATGTGACTATACTAATAATTGTATTATAGCTAAATCATATATATGCATGTATATATCATAAAAGAATATATAGTAAATTATATATATATATATATCTATATATATATATATGTATGTTATTATATATATGGTATCTATATATATATTAGTATATACTATATATATACACACATATAGTATATACACACATATATACAGTAGTATATATCATACTTATATATTGATACATATAT